AAAAGCTTTCAGCCTCTTGGAATGGGTGGGAAGGAGGAGCAGAGGGTCACGGCATATTCCCTGTGGAAGACAAAGCCAGATCCACATTCCAGGGAAATGTGGCTGGCCCAAGTTTTTCCTTTAGTACAGATTGGCCTCTCTGTCACTAAGCCAGGCTCTGTAATCTTCCCAGGCTGCCACTGCTAGGGAAGCCAGGAATCCCTTCTAATTAATCAAGCCCTCACAACAAAAATTTTCCCACTCACAATAAAGTGGGCTGGAGGAGGGGTGGCAGCAAAACAATCTCTGTAGCCAAAAGAACCCTAGTCTTTGGTGTAATACCTAACTAATCCAAGAAAACAGATGCAGGAAGCAGAGGAAATGATCTACAGAAACAGACAATGAGGTAGGAAGCTTTCATAGTACTACACTGCTGAAACTGAAGTTGAAAATCTTAAATCTTAACATGTAATTGTTATTGGGAATGAGGGCTGGCAACATTAAATCCTTTTTATTATTTTTTATTTATTTTCTTTTTGGTACCAGAGATCGAACTCGGGTCCTTGCACTTGCAAGGCAGGCAGCGCAACCACTGAGCTAAATCCCTGGCCCATTAAATCCTTTTCTAAATATCTCAAAAGCCAGGGATAGACCCATCACTTTCCTGAGGTAGAACCATATACATTATGTGACATTCTTAATAATTTTTTTTAATTAAAGTTTTGTGTTTTAGTGGATAAAAGTCCGTGACTAATACCTCAGGCACTCATGTCTATTTCTCATTTACAGATGTAAAGGAAAGGCCTTGGATCCACCTGACTCCTGCAGCTACTTTCACTCAAAGTAACTCCACTGAATGTTTACTGACAAGGTGCAAGGAGAAAGTACAGAAGGATGCAACTTCTTAAATCTGTTCTGTCTGTGGAGGGCTTGGGGTGTGGTTCAGTGGTAAGGCACTTGCCTGGATTAGATTCCAGGCACTGCAAAATAAATAAATAAATAAAGTAAGTAAGTAAGTAAAATAAATTTTAAAAATAAATCCATGCTGTCCAACCCCAACATAGCTGCTACTAGCCACCTGTGCCTACTGAGCATCTGAAATGTGGCTCATGGGAATTGAGACCTGTAGGAAGAAATATATTTAAATACTTATTATACAAATAGATCTAAGCATGTGTACATATTTACATTTCAGAGTTTTCAGGTAATAAGACTTTTGTTGGAACTACTCAACTCTGCCACTGCGGCACGAAAGCAGCCAGGGACAACATGTAAACAAACCACAGAGGCTGTGTACCAATAAAGTTTTATACAAAAACAAGCAGCTGCCATATGGGCTGTAATTTGCTGACCTTTAGCTGGTCGAGACTTTACAGTTTGGGAAATTTTTAAATATTGGGTTGAGTCTCGGTATAGCTTGGTGGTGAAGTATTCGCCTAGCAAGTCCAATCCTCAGCACAGCAAAGAAATAAAAAATAAAAACTGAGATGAGTGCAAAGCTTGAGATTAAGACTGCTATGAAAGTTTGTGGAGTCACATGCCTGCTGCTCCCACTTCTTCACCTTAAAGTCACTAACGTGCAGCAGCACATACCTCACTGCCGTAAGCTGCAGGACCCAGTTAACAAGAGAACCTGAAGCTATAGTTTCAAGGACTCTTTTCTCATGAACTGCTGCCCTTTCCTGGAAATCTGGCCTAGGTGGCAGTTATAGGAGAGAGTTCAAGGCCAGGGCCACAGCAGTTAAAAAGAAAAAAAAAAGCACTTATATGCAGGTAGGTCAGAAGACCTTTTGCATGGCAAACTAACATCACTATTCCAGAGAAAGTCTTAGAATAAACAACCCAGATACAAGTGGAAAATTATTTGATGATCATCAGCTGTTCTGTTGCTTTAAAAACCACGCTCTATCCAAGAATTTTTCAACCCAGATAGTCAAAAGTAGATACATCTGTTAGAAAAATCTGCATTAATTACTTTAAAACTTTATTTATTCACCTAATTTCCATATATTAATGCAAGATGCAGAATAAAATGAAATATCAAAAACAGGCACCATCTAGCCCCCAGTGCACTCATCAGAGGCTACCACATTGGAAATCTAGTTATTTGATCTGAAATTTACCATCATGTTGTATTTCGAAATGCCACATCTATACTATAATTTTTTATTATTTCATTTATGGAAAATGAAGACTTAATGCTTACAACCATCTTCCCATGACAGTTTCTCTAGGATTCTAAAACTTGGAATTCATCATATTATGTAATACAATCTTTGTTCAAAGCTGAGCCATGTAGTATACCATGTTTACTTTCCTATCTTGCACAATCATGTTTACTTAAGAGAGTTAAGAGTTGCATCTTTTTCTTTTTTTTTTAGGTTCCTTTATTCTTACGACTAAAGCATACCCAGGCTCTCTAACAGGACTGGGAAAAGAAAAAAAAAGAAATTTAAATGCAAGGTATTTTAGTTAAGAACATGTTTCATGGAACCCTCTGTCTTGTTCCAATCAGAATGGTTACTTCCTTCCCAGTCATCAGAATGAGATCTGCTTAGGCCCTCACCTATTTCATTGTGTAACTCCCTGATCCTTTGAGTCTTTCTCTGTTTACTCCCCTGTTTTGAAAGACTGTCTCCTCCCTAAAATAGTTATATGTTAAAAGGAAATTTTTCTTAGTCTTTCTATCTCCGAAAATTTCTCTATTCTACCATAACCTGTGATTGAGAACTGGGCTGTGAGAGGAAGTCTGGGTTAGAAACCTTTTTTTTTTTTTTTTTTGCTTTTCATCTCCTCTAAAGTTTCTGTGCCCTGAAATCTTAGGGTGATATGATTTAGCACAACTCTTTTCCACTGACTTTGCTGGATACTTGGTGCATAACTCTTTCAAACAGGAACTTCATGTCCTTCGTTTCTGCTCATTTTTATTGCAGTGTTTCTTTCATACTATTTTCTTCATTTTTCTTTCTAGAACTACAATTTTTCATATCAAAACTAAAGCGCTAATTTCCTTGTTTCTCTTTATCTTTTAGTTATCTCTTATCTTTCGCTCTATTTTATGGGCAATACTTCTTAACAGTTTTTCCATATTTTACTGAATTTTTATTTCTGTCATGTTTTTAAATTACAAAATCTCTTTTCTGTTCTTAGGAATTTTCCTTGTTTGTAACATCCTGATCCTGTTTCGTAACATCCTGATCCATGTTTGCTAGGTGGATTCCAAATATAGGTTACATTAATTAATCAAATAAGTAGACTCTGAAGTATTACTTTAAATACAAAAAGGGACATTTCATAATTATTAAAGATTTAATTCAATACATAGAGAAATTATACATCTGTACATATCTATTAATATAGTCTCAAATTGTACAAAGTAAAATCAACATAAGTAGAAGGAGAAATACATACATTTAAAATCATAGTTGGAGATTTTAATACACCTTTCTCAACTGATTGAACAAGTGGAGAAAACGCATTAGTAAATACAGCATAGATTTATACAACACAACTGTCAGATATGACTCATGTTTATATAAATTTATATATGTATATATAAAATATGTACTGTTTTATATATGTACTGTACCTGACAACCATCACTTGTAAAATACTTATGGAGCATTTACCAATATAAAGAAATTCTTCGAAACACCAATAAAAATTTGTTCTTGCAAGTCTAGTTTGGTGCCTCAAAACTGAACTACCAGGCAAGGAGAAGTCTAGGGAGCACAGAATAGAAGGACAACTGTCAGACCCAGGTAAGATTCCATGGACTGCAAGACAGGTGAGCATGCCATCTTTGATTTTGCACCTAAATCGAGGCCCTGATAACTGAAGCCCAGCCATCATCAAAAGGACCATCACCCAACTGAGGCCAGGTAATCTGCACAATCATGAGAGATGATAAAATGGCTGCTGTTTTAAGACTCTAAGTTTTAAGGCAGTTTTCAAACATCAATAGATAACCAAGACATTTCACAGTAATGATAAGAGATATAGAAGACAATGAAAAACTATCTCTAAAATGCTGAGCGAAAATAATGCTCAAACCAGAATTCTTATCTAGAGTAAGACCAGAAATCTATTTTTTAGACAGACAAATAGTAATTATTCATCACTTATACAGCCTCACTGGAAGAAATACTAAAGAATATATAGGTATAAGAAGTATTGTAAGCAATGAAATTTATAAGTTATTAATATCTAAATAAGCACTATTTATATAGTACTTATATATTATTATATTAGTGCTTATATAATATTATATATATATATATATATATATATATATATTAGATCTAAATAAGCACTAACCTGGTTAAAAATAAAACTGTGGTATTAAGTACTATCTTATGAGGTCAACCAACTACTGTAATTTACACTTTGATGTTTTAAACTGGTACTTAAAATAACATTCACATACAGAAAATGACCTAAAGAACAGCCAATATATATGAAAGGTCTCCAAGAGGTTATACCAATTATTTATCAGTTCTATCCCTTTTCTTCCCCACACAGTCCTCCCATCCCTCTATACTGAGAAAGTATCAGCCCTAGCCATCAAGTGATAAAGAAGGAATATTTATAAGAAGAAAATCAAAGAGGGCAGTCAGGCAAAAGAACCCTCTCCTGGCATATAGGATACACTGCTTCTTTCTTTCCTGCTTTTACTTTGACCTTTTGTCTGCCTTGTCAGAATCAGAGATCCTGATCTAGACATGCAATATGAATGACAATTTTTAACTCTGAGGACCAAATTATAACCAAAAACTATCCTATACAAGACTTTTTAAAAAAAGAACTCCTTATAACTATATTAAACTATCAATTTTCTTCTCATATTAGTCTTAAAATACAAAACTTCAACATGCCTACTTAAAATTGTCAGAATCCTAAATATAAAGAGTAGAATAAAGTTCAGAACTTATATCTTCAGCCAACACAGAACTCACATTAGAAAGTGATGAATCAAAAAAAAAGTGATGAATCATTTTAAAGAAAAACTAAGTATTACTTACTTTAACAGCAAATTTCTTAGATGCCATTGTTTCCTGATTTCCACAGCAACTATAAGACCTTTAAGAGAAGAAAAAACTAAAGTTATAACTGTATATCAAAATTTCTTTTTATTTGGACATCATACAGGAAAAAACTGGCTGAATAATAAAACTTCAGCATGAATTTGTGAACTGAATATCCACTTGTAATTGTCCTTAACCAAAATACTATATTGAATCAGTGGCTTAAAAACTACTCACAAAGAAAAGCAAGGAGCCAGAAAGCTTCCCTGGAATAGACTACCAAATGTTTAAAGAAGAATTAATACCACCCCTCACAAACTATTAAAAAATAGAGAAGCATAAGGAAAATTTCTCAAATCATTCTAAGAAACTGCTGTAACCCTGATGCCAATACCAGACTGAGACATCACAAGAACTAAACACCAAAATCCCTTATAAAAACACAAAAATCCTCAACAAAATACCAGCAAACCAAATCTAGCAAAGTTTTAAAAAAATTATAAGCCACAACCAAGTTGGATTTATCCCAGGAATGCAATGGTGGTTTAACATCTGAAAATTAATCTATGTATGTTCATAGAATAAGAGAAAATTAGTATATGATCATCTAAAAAAAACAACTAATAAAATCAGACTGCTTCTTTGATATTAAAAAATCTAATACAACAGGAATAGAAGGGCATTCCACAACCTAATTAATGGCATATATGAAAAACTCTACGGCTAAAATCATACTTAATAATCAATGATTTAACGTTTTCTCCCCCAACATGAGGAAAAGACAAGGATGTCTGCTCAACATTGTACTAGATATTCTAGCCAGAGCAATTAAGAAAGAGAAGGCATATACATTAGGAAGAAAGAATAACTATTTTATTCACAAATAACATGTTCTTGTATACAGAAAATCTTAATGAATCACACACACAAAAATACCTATTAGTATTAATAAACCAACTGGGAAAGGTTGTAGGATATAAGATCAATCTATTAAAATCCACTGTATTTCTACATACCAACAAAAAACAATCTTAAAGTAAAATGAAAAAAAAATCCCATTTATAACATCAAGAAAAACAGAGTCAGAAATGGTGGCACATACCTGAAATTTCAGCTACTCAAGAGGCTGAGGCAAAAGGATATTTATTGGAGTTCAGCCTGGGCAACTCAGTGAGATCCTGTCTTGAAATAAAAAACAAAAAGGGACGGGAATGTAATTCAGTGGTAGAGCTCACTGTAATTCAACAGGAGAGCCCAATGTAATTCAATGGTAGAGCCTCCATATGGGAGGCCCAGGCCCTGGGTTCGATGCCTAACCTCACAAAAACAAAAAACAAAAAAACAAAAAAACAAACAAACTTGGGAATAAATATAGCAAAAGAAGTGTAAGATTTGTAAATCAAAAACTATAAAACATTACTGGAAGAAATTAAAGACTTAAGTAAATGGGAATATATCTCAGGTTCATGAATTGGAATGATTTAATACTATTAACACAGCAATACTCCCCAAATTGATCTACAGATTGAACACAATCCATTATTAAATCTCAGCTTAAGCTTCTCCTAAAATGTATATGAAAATGGAAGGGATCTAGAGTAGGCAAAACAATCTTGAAAAAACAAAAAAAAAAGCTCAGACTTCCCCATATAAAAACTTAATACAAAGATAAACAATTCAAATCAATGTGGCACTACCATAAGAATAGATGTACAGATCATCAACGGAACAAAATTAGAAATCCAAAAATAGATCCTTATTTATGGTCAACTGGTTTTTGTCAAGGGTGTTAAGACAATTTGAAGGGGAAGTAGTCCCTTCAACAACAGTACTAGGATAAATGGATATCAACATGTAACATATTAAAATTGGCCCTTTCTATCATACTACATCAAAAAATTAAGTCAAAATGGATCAAAGACCTAAATATGAGAGGTGAAACTACAAAACTCTTAGACAAAAACATAGGTGTAAGTTTTTGTAACCTTTCATTAGGCAGTAGTTTCTTAGATGATACCCAAGCACAAATGACAAAAGAAAAAAGTAAATTAGATTTCATTAAAATAAGAACCCTTTGTACTTCAAATCAGGAAAGCAGAAAGACAATGCATAAAATAGGACCAAAAAATCTGCAAATTCTAATCTGATAAAAAACTTGTGTCCAGAATATATGAAAAAACTCTTACAACTCAATAAAAGGACAAATAATCCAATTTAAAAGTGGGCAAAGAATTTGAATAGGCATTTTTTCAAAGACATAAAAAATGGCCAGTAAGCACGTGAAAAAAATGCATAACATCAATAATCATCAGGGAAATGTAAAGAAAAACCACAGTGAGATATCACTTTATACCCACTAAGCTGTCTAAAATCAAAATTTAAAAAACAGGTACTGGCAGGGATATGCATAAGTGGGAACTCGCACACATTGCTGGTAGGAATATAAAATGTTGCAGTCATTTGGATAATACTTTGGCAGGACTTCAAAAGTCAGAGTTATCATACGACCCAACATTTCTATTTTTAGGTATCTACCCAAGAAAAACAAAAACATTATGTCCAAACAAAGCCTTATTCAGGTATGTTTACAGCAGCATTACTCACAACCAAAAATGTTCAACTGATGAATGGATAAACAAAACATGATATTATCCATACAGCAGAATATTATAAAAAGGTTAATATTCTCTTTTACTATGCTCAACTAGAGGATCGCTTGTATGGAAAACAAAAGGCATAATATAATCTGGAGGCTACCTACGAAAAAAGAAGATACTAGCCAGTACACAACTCAGACTTTCTCCAGCCCACACGCCTCGGTACTGGCCTAGGCTCTCCAGAGGGGAGACTGAAACCTCCCCATTCAGAATATACTGGACTGATCTAAAGGCAGGGTCTAAAAATACTGACATCAGGGGTTCCCCAAGGAAACAGCCTAGACAGATGGCTCTAAAGTGAAATCCACACCCATGTGCAGAAATTCTAGTCACCATTTTATTGCTCAAATGTAAGTAAACAACTAGAAATCACCTACCATCTCAGACAAGACTCTATCATGAAAGAAAACCAACCAAACAGAAAAAATTATTTGGCTAACACAGATACTGTGCAGGCAAAAAGAAACATTAAAAATAAACAAAAAAACTATTATTAGGGAAATTTGAAATACAACATCCATGAAGCAAAAAATAACTTGAAAAAAGGAAACTTAGAAAACAACAACTTAAAAAGTGTGATAGCTGAAATGAAAAATGTATTGGAAGAGTTGGAAGACAAAGCTGAGCAAATCTCTCAGAAACCAGCAAAACAAAAAGATGAAAAATAAGAGAAAATAAAGAAACAGTTTAGGAGGACTGGCACATAAAAATCAGGATGAAAACAGACCCATATTTAGGCATATATTATAGTGAAATTTTAAGCACTGGGAACAGAAAGAATCTTTTCAAAAGTTGGAGGGTAGGAGACCTGAGGTACAGACTTCAAAGGATCTGGTGTCAGATCTGGCCCAGAACTCTGAAAGTTAAAGAAATATCTTCAAAATTTTGAGAAAATTGTTCCCAACCTCTAACTGCATTTAAACATAAAGGAAAGAAACATTTTTAGACATGCAAGGTCTGAAAAAAATGTCCCATGCCTCCCTTCTCAGGAAGCTACTAAAGACATGCTTCTCCAAAATGAGGAAATTAACCAAGAAAGAGGAAGATGGAAGGGCCTTGGATTTAGCTCAATGGTGCTGCCGCCTGCCTTGCAAGGGCAAGGTCCTGAGTTCAATCCCCACTACTAAAAAAAAAAGAAGAAAAGAAAGGAAGATGCAGGAAACAGGAAGACTGAGCTAGAAGAGCCAAGCAAATCCCAGGATCCTGAAGGAGATCCTTGCACCGCAGCTGTGAGCACGAGGGGTACCACCAGGCCCAGAACAGTGGCACATCCAGCAAGGTCTGCATGTTTCCAGACAAATTTCAGTCAAGGGTGACGAATAGGCAACTGAGGTAGGGCAGGTATGCTGAAAGCTAACAACTGAGCAATAACAAGGCAATTATTATTTCGGGATAAACAAAGACTGTACAAAAGACAAAAAAAAAAGGCAGAAAGCAGTTAACAATATAGCTCATTTATGACTAGCATTATACTCATAACAATAAGCACTGAATCTCGACCTAAATATATGTTTGCAATATTAGAAAGATGGAGAGTATGAGTCAATATATGTGGTGGGGCATACCAATTAGAGGGAACAAAAGCTCTAATGTTCCATGGAGTGTTCCAGAAGCAATGTCTAAGATCAGTAATAGTAATAACAACAACAATCACAATAGTTACAATGAAGCAGAATCTGGCAAGTATTTCAGTTTTATGTACCATTTTTCTCCCCCTTTATTGGGGACTGAACCTAGGGCCTTCACACTGAGCTACAACCCCAGCCCATTTTTAAATTTTTACTGAGACAGGGTCTCACTAAGTTGCTAAATTGCACACAGTAGGCTCAAAGTTGTGATCCTCTTGCCTTAGCCTCCTGGAGTGCTAGGATTACTGACATGCACCACCATGCCCGGCTATGGACTCAGTGTTTAGGTGGCAAACTCTGCCCCAAACTGAAGACCCAGGCAAAAAAAGGTGACTGAAAGGAGGAAGGGGAGAGGAGGCTGCCCTTGGTTCCTGAGCCCTGTAGGTGGAACCATTTGCCTGCTGAGGTCTGGGGCAGAAACTTTCAGATCAGCACTGTCCTACAGAAATATAACACAAACCACAAATGTAATTTTAAATTTTCTAGTAGGTACACTGAGTAAGATGAACAAAAATAGGGAAAATTGATTTCAATACTGTATTTTATTTTAACCCACTATATCTAGCACATAAGCACTTCAACACATCCGTATAAAACATGTATATTCTCACTGTTTTAACCCAGTATTGAAATGGGTATTTTATTTATACCTCTAGCTTATCTCAACGTGGACTGGCCACCCATAGAGTGCCCAGCAGCCCTCATGGTTAATGGCTACCATGTAATAGACAGCAAATTTTGAGAGTAGTTGGGGTTTCTAAGGAAGAAAA